AAGAGAAAAATGAAAGAAAGAAAAAAAGGAGTACAGTGGTACACTCCCACAATCCCAGCCCTTGGAAAGGTGAGGCAAGTTCACTGCTAGCCTGGTAAGACCCGGTCTCACAACTGAAAGAAAAAAAAAATTGGAATATTATGTATAGAAATATGCATTTCCCATTTTCTTGAATAAACAAATGCCTAAGTCTCCCATGTTATGACACATGGTACACATGCCTGTAATCCCAGCACTTAGAAGGCTGAGGCAGAAGGATCACTTGAGTTTGAGGCCAGCCTGTATTGCATAGTGAGACTCTGTCTCAAAAGAAAGAAAGAAACAAAAAAAAGACAACTAAGACTTAGAAAAAAGAGAAACAACAAGAAGCAAGTATTTATAGTCTGTGTATTATCTCTTTACAACAGCCCTGTGGGGATCAATAATAATGTTTGATAAATGAGAAAACTCAACCTTAGAAAGGTAAAGTGTTACAGCAGAGTCCAAGCTTCCGCTCTTCTATTATACTATTTCCCAGGAATGAAGTTTCACCAGGAAACTGGAGGCAGAGCCAGGATTCAAATCTAACCCTCTGCAGAGGGAAGTACATAATTTGGATGTTAGGATTACATCTACTCAAATTTTGGGTCTTCCTCAGAACTGGGAAAAGAGGGTAATGCCAGAGTATTTATATACAGCATCCCCTAAAGAAACGCTGCTTCAGTTGCGTTTGTTCTAGTGGGTGTGGTGGCACACACCTACAATCCCAGCACTTGGAAGCCTGAGGCAGGAGGATTGTTGTGAGTTCAAGGCCAGCCTGGGCTACAAAATGAGCTCAAATTCAGCCTGAACTGCATAGCAAGACCCTGTCTCAGGGGCTGGGGATTTAGCTCAATGGCACAGCACCTGCCTGGCAAGTACAAGGTCCCGAGTTCAATTCCTAGTAAAAAAAAAAAAAGTGATGTGGTACGCACATGAACTCTCCAGGTGTGGGAGGCTAAGGCAGAAGGATCATGAGTTTGAGGCCAGCCTGGGCTACATAACACATTTGAATCCAGGATGGAATATAGGAAGACCCTATTGAAAGAAAGGAGGAGGCCGGGCATGGTGGCACACGTCTGTAATCCCAGCACTCAGGAGGCTGAGGCAGGAGGATCATTGCGAGTTTGAGACCAGCGTGAGCTACAAAGTGAGCTCAAGGCCAGCCTGAACTGCATAGCGAGACCCTGTCTCAAAAAGACAAAAAAAAAAGAAAGAAAGAAAGGAGGGAAGGGAGGAAAGACAAGGAAAGAGGGAAGAAAGGAAGGAAGGAAAATGAGGAAAAGAAAAGAAAAAGAAGGAGGAAGGGACCGTGGTAGCGGTAGGGAGGAAAGAAAAAAGGAAGGAAGGGAGTGCATTTGTGGCTGGGTCCAAATGAGCTAACAAGGGGAAATCTAGTAGAGCAGATGCAGCAAATGTATGCAGGGGCCAAATCATGGCCGGGAGGCACCTCTAGCAAAGGCAAAGCTTGCTGGAGCTTCCTCGGGGAGGAGACTCACTGGGGGGCTTCCTCTGGGGGCAGTCAGAGTCCTCAGTGGAAGGAGCTTCCCGCTGCTTGCAACAGGTACTTGTCCAGAGAGGAAAAGGGCTCTGTTAAGTTGCTCTACAAACACGCACAGTACAAGTATCCTCCTTGTGATCCCACCTAGTGCCTGTTCTTGACAATCTCA